AGCCGTACGTTTAGGCTTCCCACTTGGGGTTGATCTATGATAGATTTGCACCATACAGGATCTGATAATTAAAGAAATTAACCATATTCAGGCCTTCATTCTTGGGCAAGATAGGGACAAATGTCTCGAGAAAAAAAAAAAAGGGTTTTCTTAATTAAACTCATGACTAATTAACACCAAGTTTATTTCATAGTTCAATAGATGTATATTTATAAATCATAATAAAAAATCTCCAACCTATTTTGAACCTGTTTGAATAAACAACTTAATTAAGCATTGATTCAATAAAAAATAATTAAAAAGTTTAATAGTAAAAATTATTTAAATAAGTTGAAAAAATTAAAATTATACATAATTTCTTAATTAAAAATTCTTTGAAATGCTTCGAAAACTGTTCAAAAGTGTTTTTCTTAGGGTGTTATTAGTTTACTATGACCTAAATATCCAATATATTGATTGTGAACAGAAATTGTGTCTCTTAGATGTTTTAACAAACAATTAGAAGAACTAAATTCACAAAACATTTCACAGACCTGTCGTTATTATTTGGGTTAATAAAGGCAGAGGACAAAAGCCAATTTTTTCGGTACCTAAAGAGAAAGATTATCCACTAACACATGCGATCAATAAATAGACCCTCAAAGTGGGTAGGAACATATACATGAGTGGGCCAATGCTAACCACTAACCACTGTTGATTCATGCCTTAACTTCAACGTTTAAGATCACAAGCAATTTATATTTGCAAATTTCCCATGCATAATATAGTTAGTTATATTTACGGTCATGGAAGACCCCATGAATAATATCAATCATGGACCTTTCTAATTTTACCTAAGTGTTTTGATATAACTTTGAAGAAACGTTTGGTACTTGAATCGCTCCTTGAAAGCTGAAGCTGCAAATGTCATTTTCCTTGATTTGTTTTTGGGCCTCCACATGCATCTTTATTCTTGTTGTACTTCCTCTATCTTAAGGAAACTTTCCTCCATTGTTCAATTGAAAAGGTGCATAAATGGAAGAAACACTCATGATTGATAAAATATCAGTGCACAAACAATAGCCCAAGGAATTCCACATAATTGAAGAGCATAGAATATACATGTATCCATGGTTTGAGAGTTGGGTGGGTTTCTGATATTTCATACCTAATGTTACCCTAAATTCAAATTTGTATGCATTAGCATTACATATACACAAAAGTCATTTTCAGAGCCAATATTATATATTTGTGATGATCTCCTCAATTCTCAAAAGGAATTATACCTTTTATTTGTAACACCTGTCACGTTACCGACGAAGGATTTGGTGTACAGTGTCGAACAATTTTTCATTATATGTTGCTTAATTTAATGGAAAAAAGGGTAATACATAGTTCCTGGAAGCACCTATGAAATGCAGAAACATTTCCAAATGGTAACTGAATGGGACAAAAGAAACAAAACTAAATGGAGGAAAATTAAAAAGGGTTTTGGGGTATCTTGTTATTATTCTGAATGGATGGCCTCAAACATCTCCATCACAATTTTACATGAGACAGGAGGGTATGGATATGTGAGCATCAAAAGTGATTTTCCATCCAATAGATCATCGAATTTGCACATGATATTGTCGGTTTTGATGTCAATAGTTTGATTTCTTTATTATGTTTGTTGAATGTTTAGAACTAAAATCCAACCTCATTAATTAAGAACCCAAAAAGAATTTTTAATATTTTTATTTGCTTATCTTATTGGCCAAAGAAATTGCAAGGAACTTGCAAGACTCTTATTTCATTTGGGAGAGGAGGGGGGGTGTTCCTATAAGCTCTACCTATACATTGGATTATATAGCTAATTCATATATTTCATGCAAATTTGACCAAATATCTTAATCATATCTTTGCATATTGAATGAAACTTTTATTGAGTATGTTCACTTAATTATGTGGGTGCAAGGGCCCGGATGAACAGTTGAGATGTCACTTAATAATGATATTGAAATGTATGATTGTGAATGCAACCATGCCTTGCTGTACTTAAACACAAACGGGTCAACTATCATAACTTTGAAATATTCATCTTGGTTATGCTTGTAAAACATGATATTCAAATATCAGAACATTATTTTTTTGACTCATTTAAAAAGTGGAGAATACATGGAATCAACGCTCATATATCTTGCACCGTATAATTGTGGTCCTACAGTTCCATAATGTTATTGCTAAAACGTTCAATTTGTGGATTAGTTTGGTGGCCTTAAGATCTCTCGAGAGAGAAGAAAACAACATTTGGGATAACTACAATTTCGTTCAGCGTTTGATTGATTACATTGCTATTTTCTCATAGCATTATAACTGTTCAATTTACTTAAAAAAGGACTATTTAAGGTGTTGTTCCCTTCAAAGTTAAAAATAATATCTTTATTCTTCACTCAACTATCTTAATTGCTTATAGGAAAAGGTATTAGCTATTTGTAAATTTTTAAGATAATATATGGTTGTGTTTTTATTTTATATTTTTAAATTCAAAAGTTTTAATATTTACTAAAGTCACACATTAGCAAATGTCTTAAAGGCACTAATTTCTTGATAAAAAGAGGCACTGATTAAGAAACATTTAATATGTTTATTAAATGCTTTCAAGTATTTACAAAAAAAAATATTAATAATTGTTATTTTTTTATATAATAAGTGTTCATTAATAACTTTTTTTTCATTTTATTTCCTGAATAACTGACACTGCTTAGCATTTCTCCTAAGAAAATTACCATAGTACCTAATAACTCACTTCTTGTAGCAAACGAATAAGCCAAAAAGGAAAAGGGAAATTTTCCCTTCTCCTAGATTTTTGTGTAGCAAAAAAATTTGCCAATTTTTTTTATTATATTGAAGGCAGAGATTATATACCTCTTATAACGCAATAGAATGGACTCTATGATTGATCAAATTGAATAACGAATAAGAATTTCTGGAGTACAGATTGCCTATAAAAGCTGTATTATCTAAATAAATCAATTAATGATACATAATCATTAGATGCTAAAAACTTGCAAAAGTATTTATATTGTATAATTATTTATATTGAAATAATAATGTATTAGTTCTTGATTAATTTGTTCTACATAACCTGTATAAATATTGTCTGCATGAGTCTTTTCGTGATGAATACAATATTGGAAAAGAGCAAAAGATAAACAAACATACAAAATCATACAGCCCTATTATTCGTATGGAGCGGAGAGAAGAACCTACAATCAGTTTTGTGAAAATATTTCAAATGAAAATTTCAAAATAATCTTTTAATTTTGCATTTTATCACGTTCAACTATATATAGTATTCTATCTATCAAGTACACTAAATATACTAAAATAGCTACAGTAAAATTTCTGGTATTCATATTAATTATTGCTGAGAAAATTGTTTCTGGGCAGAGATAAAGATTTAATAACTATCGGAGTGATTTTTCATTCTTCTTAGAAAATGAGAAAATATTTTATGCTCTGTAAAACAATCATAAACGTTAATTTTAACAGCAGATTTAGTAGTTTATTTAAAAAAATGTAAATATTTTTTAATATTTTAGTATAATTTAAAAAAATATGTAATGTTTCTTCAAATTTAGAAATACTATAGCAAACACTTAATTAATACATTATTCTTATCATTTGAAGTTAAATACTTCTTTACAACTGAAATAATCAGATTTTTTTTCAACCGTTGAAATAGTTTAACATTTACGAATTTTAAATACTATCATATAGTCAAGTTTTTTGTATAGCAGGGGAATATATAAATATATGATGCTACAGAATTCCTGCAATAATTATTTTCCCGCTTAATATATGACAATTAAAATAAAGGCCCTACAATTAATCAAACCAATTGATACTTCTTAAGGTATTAAATAGGAAGCTACTTGCTAAGTTTTTACCGTTTGCTCTTCGTTCACAATAATTGCACAAAGGGAGACCTTCCCAAAAAAATTTCTGCATGGGTCAAGATTTGTGCTACAAAATTCCCACCATGACCAAATCTACGGGGCAGAACCAGATAGTATTCATTAAATTTATTTGTTTATTTTAATTTTTATCGTCGAATTTTGCTTTGCCGGGTATGGAACATATAATTGTAACACAGAACATCCAAAATCAACAAAGAAACCCCAAGTCCAGATTTCTGCTTATAAATTTTGTGCAAAGCGACCCTAGTTTTATGGTCACGCACTGGTGATAACGTGTTATTCTACTTCCCTCAAAATCTCAAATCATAGATCTTAAATTCTCTAAAACACAACTTTATTAGGAAAAAAATTACCATAGGATTTGTAAAACACACATTGACAAACATGTTCTATATATGCTTTCTCGGCCAATAATATATTATACAAGTTTTCTCAACCCACCACAACGGTTTAGATTTGAGTCTTCTATTCTTTCTTTTAAGTGACGAGGTATATACCAATCCACAATTTATTGGCGGACAAGTCAAAACACCCTATAACTTGTTAATTAAAATAACTATAATGGTTACTAGAAAAACAAAATTAACTCATTTTAATGAAAAGTTTTCATTTCAACGAGACCAGATTATAAAATTCAGAATGCCTAATCGTCGATTTATTTCGAACTTCTCTCCTTCTTGAAACCCTAATTAAGTTGTCAATTCTGTAATCTTCAACCACTAAGGCTGATTTGAAATATCTAAAAATATTTTCTTCAAAAAAATATTTATTATACTCTTTATTTTGTCCATAAAAACTTGCCACTTTTTCATCCTTTTCCATTATTTCTATGCAAAGAAATGGTAGTTGAAAGAAATGACTTGAGCACAGGCGGTTCTGCATGTTCTAAAACTTCAGCCAACATAGCACTTCATAAAGATACTGTTTTAAAGCAAAGGTAAGATAATTTAGACTTCATAAATTGAATTTTCAAAAATATTTCACGGAAGATTCCAACCCAACTCCAGCACTTCATAGAGATAGGCAGATATACTTCTATAATAATAATAATAATAATAACAAACAGATATCTTTCATAAAATCACATCACGTAGAATCATTATGCAATCTCTGAAAATACAAGTCATATTGTCAATGCAATCTATGAAAATACAAGTCATACTGTCAATAGAAGCACACGATGTGTAAAGTACCAAGAAAATAAAAAAGAACATTCCAACTCAGTTCTGAAAGTATGATTAAGGCATGAAAATATAGTCATGGACTAACGCTCAAGTGCCATGTATAGCAATGCTGGAGCATCCTTGAATAACTACTTTCGATGAAGTACTTGGATTCACCTACAAAACCCACAAAACAAGAATGAAACTCAGCATGAGACGAAAAGACAATGGTGGTTCAGAGAATGTAATGATGGTCGGTTGACGCAAGCCTATGCAGACACCACTGCTAAAATGTATATATGCAGCATAAGTGAAAAGACTCGCGCTCACCCACACACACACACACACACACACACTTGGTACAAACTACAACTAATTACAGAGCACTGCCTTGGTGCATACAATGTAACCCAGCAATGGCAGATTGCCATTGTAAGCACTGCCTGTACAGAAATAACTTGATGTACTCTTGAACATTATTACACATGAAGCATAGATGAGAAGAGTATTGGCCGATCATTATCAACACTCAAATGGTCATTTACTCACATTGATCATATAAACATTTAAACAAAGAACATACTAATGCATTCATCATCATGGCTAGTAGAAACCAGTATCAGCAGAAAAACATAAATTGGTAGAAAATACTAATGCAAAGCACTCAAAAAAACCCTCACCTAGCCTCTTTTCATAGCAAATTATAATCATAAAAAAGAAGTTACTGTTGACCATCAAATATAGAAAATAAAATGGATAATAATTTCTACTCAGCAACAAAGCTGAATTTACCTTGAATCATCATGTTCAACAGAGGTTGAACTAAGAATTTTGTAAGTTACGCATAAAAGTTCAACAAAGATAAACAAAGCAAGAGAATTTTCAGTTCTTTTAAAATCTCGTAACATCAAAAAGAATACATAAGAATAAGGAAAGCTGTAATACAAGACTAAGATGTAAGCTAAGAAATTTGCAATTAATACCACAAAATAGGTTTGAAAATACAAAAGTTAATGAAAAAGATAAAAAGGAAATTTTTGCTCGTGGATCAAGAGCAAAGAATCTTTCAGTAGACAACCCAAATAGACTAAGTATTATTTCTCTAAAGTCTCCAAGATAAGACACAGATTGGCATCAATTTTGTCCAACTATGAGGAAATAGACAATTCTTAAACTAGAAATGAAGTTTTTCTCACAATGGAGCAGCTATAGTTAAGATTTAAAATTAGTGTATTAACAGATAATGTAAACAATAAAGCAACCAGCGTCATAGCTTTGGAAAGCACATAAAACAGCTCAACAGCTTCGTTCAATTTCTCAGCAGCTCAAATAATGAAAGCTAAAATGTGCAAAGGAATATTGAAAAGTACATAAACTGATTATGTTAGCTCATTCATAAGGACTGACCTTCATTTATGCTAGGTTGTGTTTCCATGGGGAACAAGTCTTTGTTCTTGCCTTGCAAGAACATAGTAGGGGAGCTAAAAGACAAAAACCAGATATGTTCAGGGGAATACTTACATGGACATGAAGTAAGAAGATTTAAACAAAAACCTAAATATAAGAAGATAAGCCAAATTTTCACCAGATGTTGCGAGCAACATTGCAGAAATTGGTGGTGCCGGTGTGAAGGATAAGAGAACAATAGTGTTACTTGAATCAGTAAGCACTTTGGGGGAAGCATCTGAAAAAATATTATAACAGTAAGTTAAAGAAACTTGCTTTAAATATATATTACAATCAGAAACTTATTTTGGTTAGTATTTACTAATTTCTAAACCTACTCCAAAAAAAATAATAAAGTAAGGGGGAATTAAATTAAACCTCGATTCACAATCAAACTTTCCGTGCAACACCACAGACAAGTGAGGAGGAGCAGCACCGGCAAGTGCAACCACCTCCCATACTGGTGCAGGTATTTTGACCCCCTTTCCTGCACCAGCAGTAGGAAGCATTTCCTTGATTGCTATTCAGAATCTTCATATAAGCCTCCATCATCAGAGAAATCATCAAATGATCGCATATCAAGTTGATAGCGCAAGATCCCACCTATCCCACCAAAACCTCTGCAAAACTGTGAACCTTCTTGTGATTTATTGGTGACAAATTCAAGAGTGCAACCAAACCGTTTGTATTCATTTGCAAACCACTCCAGCAGAGTTGTCTTTTCCTGAACCTCATAATCAGCAGAGCTCACAGGATCCCGAAAATTGCTTTGGTTGGTCTCCTCATCCTTGCCATAGTGCTTAATAATAATCTCACCAGTAGCACTATTTTTCAGGACATACCTATTCTTATCGAGATTTTCCCAGACAATAAGTGTCTCAACAGCTCCCATCTCCAGAGCTTTTAGAGTATCATCAACCCCGTAAACAAACTTTCCAGTATCCTGGCTGATTTCCTCAAAGTATTTTCCAATCAATCGTTTCTCCTGGATAAACTTCACATTGGCCAGTATTTCAGCAGATAGTTCAATGGCCTGATTAAACCCATTTTCCCCTCCATAGGAAACATCAACAACATTAAGTATTTTTGCCTGAAGCCGAGGATCAAACATATCTGACTGACTAAGCTCAGTTTTGAAATCAGCTGAACCAGCCAGTATTAATCCAGAAACATTAGGTTGGCTGGTAGAAGGATTGATGTAAAACTGAGTAGCAAGCTCTGCAGTCTTTCTCACATAGTTATGACGCTTCTCCATACGAAGACGGGCAAACCGTAGAGCTGATTGTCCTCCTCTTCCATGTTTCTTTGGGAGATCCACACTAAATTTATGAAGCACCTCTCTCGTATTACCACTCAAGGTCCCAAACAGAGTACCATTGCCATCCATGACAATAAATCCAAACTTATCATCAGATTCCAGAAGTTCATTTAAAGCTTCAGTATGAAACTTATTGTCACAAAGATAGAGAGATGCATTAATAGGTCTGAAAGGCTCAAAATCTATAGTCACCTTTTTTTCCTTCCCATCTTCTGTCACAATTGTGCCAGTATACAGAACAAGGCCGTTTGAAGGGACCTTGTTATAAAGCTTAAGCCTCTGCTGAGCAGAAGTGATTGCACCAAGAACTGACTGTCGATTCACCCTGCTTTTGATATTCGATGCGGTTCCAAACTCATCACCAAGCATCTTGGTTACCCGAGATATTTGATCGCGTGGGGGCATGATAAGGGAAATCATACTTGTCCCATTTCCTCTAGCAGCCTCAAGAGCTTTGATCAATTTCTTGATTTTCCACACCTGAATGTTCTTATCTGTCTCATGACCATCAGCCATCTCCGAACAATAATAGGCCAATAACCTTGGAAAAAATAAAATCACAACAAATAAGCCACATCCATATCCACACAGATAGAAATTCAGAGCATAGAACGAATATAAAGGTACCAAGGGGTAATAATAATTCAATAAAAAAATTAAACTTGTACATCAACCCTAAAAAAATCATAGCTCACCTTCATCCCTCCAAAAACATAGCACTCTGATGAAAAAAGGAACGGAAAGACACAAGATTCCATTCGTTCCATTTCAACACATGCATTAGAAGAAAGCTATTCACGGCTTCATATTAAGATTCAAACAGGTTACCATCTACACTTTTATTTCCCAGAAAATTCCAACCACCCCCTCCACCACAGAAAATAAAAATTGATACTTTATCGACAGGTCGTCACATAAACTAATATAAAACACAGGATATTAGGTGCAGATATATTAAAAGCACAATAAAATATTATTATTATTAAAAAAAGAAAACCCTTTTTCTCACTCTGCTCCATGCTTACCTTCTCCCTCATGCAAGTTGCAAATTAAAAATTCACACCATAAAAACCACAAAAAATAAAAAAACTCAATATTAAAATAGAAAAAACCCCAAACACAGATTCGCAATAGCATATATTAATCCTAGTATATCCATACACACATGTGTGCCTCTAAAGCATCACAAAACAAAACACATCCAATTAACAACAGCACAAGTCCATTAATTTGATCAACCCAGACACAAAAACCTTATAAAAATAACGATGATGACCACAACAACACAAGCACCAACATCGACGAAAACTATAAGCAATCGCAGCATCAAAAGCTATAAAGTAAACAAAATACGATAAATAATTGAACAAGCAAACATTAGATGATTGAAATTGCAGAATCGGTGATTCGAATTGGCGAAAAAAGGTACCTTTTTTGGGGGCGGCGCAAGAGAGAGAGGAGGCCGCGAGAGAGAGAGAAGCGTGCCCTAGCTGAAAACTCGCAAATGTTTTGATTTGTTTGTGAAGAGTGTGTGGGGGATTTTGAAGGGCAATCAAACGGCGTCGTCAGGAGCCTTCTGTCAGCTTTTTCTTGGCGGTGGATATTAAAAATACCATTTTGTCCCAACCTTTTAAATTTTTCTTCCACTAAGTAATGCTTCTAACTGGAATTATTTATTTTCTGTGGTGCCAGATTTTTTTGCAAGGAATTTTGGAAGGTTCTTCTTAATTTTCTTGTAACCATAAAATTACGTTTAATATCTTTTTTCTTAATGTTTATTAGTGTCTATTCATCTCATTTTTAAAAAAATTGTGTAAATAATATTATAGACAAAATATTTCTTAAAAGAATAATAATAAACATATTACTGTAATAATAAGCAAACTCTATTTTTTGATAGGAAAATATAGACTAGTATCCATATTCGTACAATGTCAATGTCTACGGTAAATAATAATTTTTTTTAATCTATCAATATTCTTAACCGTAATTAAACTTTAATATAAAACTCATTCTCAACATTTTGAATTATTAACACTGTTATTAATTTATAACTAAACAAAATTTGTATAACATAAATTTTATGAAAAATAAAACATCAAATATTATATTTAAAATCTAATAGAAATATTACAAATGTAATACATTTAATGAAGATAATATTATCATATTTTTTAAATTAATTATGTACCGTATTTATTAAATATAACATTTAATATTACGGTAATATCAAAATATATTTGTGCAAGTTATAATTATTCTTATAGCATTTAATGTTTTTATTAAATAATTTAATTTTAAAATTAATTATTAAAATAAAATTTTTAATTATGTAAAACATGTTTGTAAAATTTTATATCAATCTAAAATTATTTGGTATATTGTTTTATATTTTAAAAGTAATATAATATATATAACCATTTAATGCATTTTTTTAATTTAATTTTGATAAAATTTGATATAAATAGTCAAAATTATATATATATATATATATATATAAAATAGTTAATCAACAAATATTATTATATTTTGTATAAAAGTCATTGATGATATAAAATGAGTATAATTTATGCCAATAAAATTTAATCTTTCTCCTTAATATTATTATAAAGTCATTTTTTAATAATGTCATCCTTTTATGATTCTCTTCTCTTTTTTTTTTTTTTAATCTTATTCAATCATTTTAATTACATGTTCAAAAGATGAAATATTTACATCACAATATTATAGAACGTTAAAATAATTTGATATATTTAATATTTTAAATTATTTTAAATTCAAATAATTTTACTTTATGAATCAATTTTTACATCAATTATTTTTATTTATAAGACTTTAATGTAAATTTTTTTATGACTAAATTTGTTAAGAGTTGAATTATTCAGTGTTCTTTAACTTTACATTAATATAAATTTGTTTTAATTATAAAAAAAATATATTTATTATGGGAGACAATAATTGATCAGTTACAAAATCATCTGTAATAAATATAAAATTTTAATATAAATGAGTGTATTTTTTAAGAGTTATATCAAACAAAACTTTTTTTAAAAAAAAATATTATTATATTAATGTAATTCTAGTGAAATTGAGAAAGATAATTATAGGTGATGAAGATTTTTTTTTCAAATATTTAATGTAATTGTATATTTAAAGACTCAAATTTAAGATTATTGATTAAGCTGAAATAAATTCGTGTTAATTGGTTTATTTAGTGAATAATTCATTTAATCATCTTTAATATAATAAAATATATATTATTAACAATAAAATTTTTTACCATTTTTTAATGTATAAAATTTATTAAATTAAAAATATTCATATGATATATTTTTAAAATTTTATTAAAAATATTTTAATTCAATAAGATTCATGTAATGCACAAAAAATAATTTACTAGGGAAAAATTGTATTATACTATATAAGTATAAACACACTTTAAAGTATATTTTATTTAAATTACAATTAAATATGCTATCACTCAATAATGAAATAAAAATTATATACCTGTACACTTATATCACAAATTTTTAGACATTTCATAAAGACTAATATATATATATATATATATATATAAATTATTTTAATATTTTTTTTATCTAGAGTTTATTTTTAAGAATCTTATTTTTTAAAATTTATGGTTAATAATATATATTGATTATTGACATTTTATTAAAAAAATTTGACACTAAACAATAAAGGAATTATTTTAAAATAAATTATATTCTAAATTTTTATATTTTGACACATAATATTTATGATTATATAGTTAAATTAAAATAATTTTTAAAGAACTTTATTATTTAAAATAATTTTATTATATACGATTTTACATAAAATTATAAAATGGTGTTGTTTAATTATTAAATTTTATATATTTGTTTTAAAATGACATACTATGCATTGTATGGGTACTAAACTAATATATGTAAATATTTTTAATGACAATAGAGAAAAATTTATAGGAAAACTCATTGGCTTAAACATAAATGAATTTTTATTTGAAAACTCCGGTCCAACAAGTTTTGGTAGATCAATATAGAGAGTGATTTTTCGATTTTTTTGATAGTATTGAAATATTTGAAATTTTGTAAGAAGATCTTATGCAATTATATCATAACCTTAGATTTTGATGAAAAGTTAGATATAAAAAGGTAATTTGCATGTCAAACTCAAAGGAATATACAAGCTGATTAACTCTTAAGTATTATATATATGATGCTATAATTGGGAACATCAAGAATTTGGTAGTTGGTTCTCACATACCAAAATCATCATAAATCGCTTGTGAATGTCAAAATGCAACCCTTAAATATTGATTGATAGAATAGACATCTTTATTTTGAGATATTGGTTTGATTTTTTTTTTCTTTTGTTGAAAAAGCAATTAAAATTCTCCTTTTAAGTTTAGTTTCATTTAATATGCAAAAACAATAATAAATAATATCATGTATCATATATTTTATTTATATTAATAAACTTTTTTGGTAAGTCACAATAGTTAGTTACATATCTTGAATTTTTTTCATTTCTTAGACCATATCTTAGGATACAACTCTTCTAAACTGTATCTCTGCACTTTGAAGATTAAAGTGCGTAAATTTTAATCATTAATAATAATAAATGATGGGTCATAATTTAAAGTTTTTTAAGAGATGTGATATTTATTTTTAAAAGTAATAATCACCAAGTTAAAAAAAATGACACTAAACGCTATTCACATCTATTGTATTACATTTGTGGAGTCTTAACAAATAGTTAATATACAAAGTTTTATGCTATTCAACTAAAACAGTGATGACATGTTGACAGAAACAAAGAAACACAAATCAACCACAAAACGGTTTTTATGAGCGATGGCTGCTATAGTATGCATACATGGTAAGCCTGTAAGTTACCAAAATCGTCAAGTGCATGTTCTAGTGGTCAAGTCCATATCAACCTTGCTATGCCATGATTGTATTTCAAACCTACTTCCCTCCCCATCACAAAACCATATAGGAGTCAATTGGCCATTGTATCCAAGTAGTTGTAACTTATGAGAAGCCATTTTTCTCAGAATATAGCATCTTATTTCCTCAGCCATGGTCAATATTGGCCAACCACTGAAATAAGCTTTTCTCCATGTTTGCATTGAACTGTGGCATAGTGGAGGACTTTGAACATTCCCATGTCGCAAATCTCATGTTTAAGTCCCTATTTGTTCAATAATTTTTTTAAGTGCATGGCACAATATCTTTGTGCCACTCCAGGCATGACCTCCAGCATGACAGGTTTAATCCTTGACATCATAATAAATGATATTAGTTCTTAAAAGATTTTCATAGACTTTAAATTGGTCCTTGAAATAAGTTAAGAAAATTCAAATTGGTCCCTTTATAGAACCATAAATGCATACCTTTTGCACGTCAGACATAAAGTTCTACTAATACAGTTGTAATTCCTAATGTTGTGGTGCAACAAAGTTGCTTGTTGCACCATTTTCAGTTTCCTTTATTTTCCAAACCAGCTATGACATATGCTAAATCAAATATTTGATTATTTCCATTGCACACAATAACTGTCCACGAGAGTATCCTTTAAAAAAGAAACATCCATCAAGACCAATAAAAGCCTTACATGCAGCCAAAAAGTCTCTTGCAATCCTCAAGACAAACATTTTTCCTTTGAAATTGTGCAGAAGCTACGTGCACATACAAATTTAATAAAATCACATTTTAAAGTGAAAATTATAACTTTTAGCGTCAAAATAAATTCAGGAGAGTTGACATCTTTGTTTATTAGAATTGTTTTGCATATAAAATTTTTTTGTTAATATTATATAACGAAAGATAATATAAGAACTTCAAATTTTTGTCAATGTTACTTAACATATGATGATTTAAGAACTCAAGTTAGAATATAGCTTCGGTAAAACTCTTATTCTATTAATATGGTCTCTTTGTATTTATAATATGGTTACTTAACGTATGATAATTTTAAGATAAATTTCATAGTACTATATAAAATTATTTTATGAGTATCGTACTCAAAAAATTTAAATTAATATAATAAAAAATGTGTTAAGTTAAAAAAATTATTATATATATTTTATTTAAAGTTATATTTTTTATATTATTTGTTACGTAATCTTATAATATATATATATTATACATTCAATTTTTTATTTTATTTTTTATCATTTTTATAAATTTTTAGTATTATTTTTTTTATTTTTTTAAATAAAATATAATTTATATTTAAGTAATTTTTATTTATTATAAATAAGAAATAATTATAATATAATATATTAATCTAATAATTAAATAATAAAATTAAAAATATAAATATATTGATATAATATTATTATTTCTTTTTAAATTTTAATTAATTTAATTTTAATTACATCTTATATTTATTTAAAAATTTAATCATTTTTAACTTATTTAAATATAAAAATATAATAATTTATTATTAAATAAATTTAATATAAATTATATTTTATTTAAAATTAAAAATTTATAAAAAATATAAAAAATTAAATATAATAATAATAATAGTAATAATAAAACTATATAACAAATAATATAAATAATATAACTTTAAATAAATTATATATTATAATTTTTTAAAAATTAATACGTATTTTTTTTATTAATTTAAATTTTTCATAAAAAAATTTTAAGATACCATAACACATACCTAATTTTAAAATTCAAATTCCATATAATTCCTATGTATTTAATATGGTTTACTTAAAAACGTGTGATAATTTAAAAACTCATAATTACTGTATACAGAAAATTCTTCATCTTTGTAGTTAATACAATTGACGACTAGTTAATTTGGAAATATCAGGACCAAGCATGTCGACCAACAATGTTTAAGAAACTAAAATAAAGTTTAGTCCAGCACTCAGTTGAGGAACTTTGGAACGAACTCGTCCCAGCCGAGTGAACACAGCGTAACTCACGCATCCATATACAAATCCAAGCGAAAGTACAGTCATACATGCTAAAGACAGATCTCAGATTCTGAGACACAGAGAGAGAAATGGCAACGACATCATCTTCAACCGAAGAATCATCATCGAGTAAGAAGAAGAAGAAGGAAGGTTTGGGTTGGATAGAGTGGTTACGTGGCTGGTTCTACCTGATCTACGAGATGCTCTTTCAGCGCATCATGGCAAGCCACTTGCACAATCCCATGCCACTTCCACCCATTAATGATCTCACTTGCATTGTTACTGGCTCAACCAGTGGCATTGGCCTCGAAATCGCAAGGTCCCACTTCCATTTTCCTTCAAATTCATGGCAATAAATTATGGATTTTTGTTTTTGAGCTGAAAAATTTTGAACTTTGCTACTGGGGTTGGTGCTTCTTGTGTGATTTTGAAAAAAGGGTAATTTTGGGAAGTGGGTATGTGTTGGTTTCGTGGTTGGGGTTGGAGTTTGTGCGAAGGAGGGGACCTTTCTGGTTTTGTCTGGATGGGTAATAAATGGTGTGTCCCATTTTGATTACTGTGTTTGCAAGGCAAGGTAGGGCAAGTTTGAATGAACTTCTATTTTATTGTAGCTTTTTAGTTGAGATAAATATTTTATTCCTAATTGAAGAGGAAAAAAAAAAAAAAAGCTTTTCCAAGTTTATAGGAACTTATGGAGAAATTTTACGATGGAGTGTTTTTCTATGAAAAGTTAAGATGCGTATATTGATTTTAATTTATGTGAGAAATTCGATTAAATTATTTTCTTCTTCTACAATTACTTGTTGATTAGTTTATATCCAATTGGATGACTTGTAATGATGGTCATGTGCGGATGGGAATATTTTTAGTTTAAATTCTATAGTTTGACACTGAGAAGTATGAGCATTTTTTATGTTTTTTTTTTTTTTTCTTTTTAATCTTATTGTTGCTCTTCATATGTTGCAGGCAATTGGCACAGTCAGGGGCCCATGTTGTCATGGCAGTGAGGAACACAAAGGCGGCTCAGGAATTGATCCAGAAGTGGCAGATTGACTCTGAAGGATTGAGTATTCCCCTCAATGTTGAGGTAACTTTATGTCCCTTATTTGTTATTGTGCAAGGAACTTTAAACTGGCACGCTTGGAGCCTGCTTTGTTAAAGTTTATATGATCCATGGATTTTTTTGAGTTGGATTGTGTGGTTGGATTAGCTTATTTTGTACTAAGTAGAGCCTTTTTGCATGATGCTCGAAAGAGAGATTTTGTTTGAAGATTTTTTAATGCAAAATAAGCTTGATTCAAACGTGTTTTGAGATTAATTCCGGTCATTGATATTTCCTTTTGGGTTGTCAAGGTGATGCAAGTTGATCTTCTCTCATTGGATTCCGTTGCAAGGTTTGCTCAAGCATGGAATGCACGCTCAGCACCCTTGCATGTTCTCATTAATAATGCTGGAATTTTTTCCATCGGAGGTTGGTTTTTCTGATGAAACAAGGTTGTTGCTAAATTTTAGCCATTCTTATGTCTATCATTCTAAATCTTAGACAGCGCCAAGTACTGGCTCAATCTGTTTATGGTTTGAGTAAATAATGGTAATGTTTGGGCTCACATGTTGAAACAAACTTACCCTTTTCTTTTATCTCATCTTTTGTTGTTACAAGATTATTATGGTTACAACATTATGAGGGTAGCAGTAGTGGTAATAGTAGTAGTATTAGTCTTGTTGATGACAAATGTAACTAATCTACTCACCTGTTTTTCTTTTTACTCAGAGCCACAAAGGTTTTCCATAGATGGTTATGAACAACACTTGCAAGTGAATCACCTTGCTCCTGCCTTGCTTTCAATACTTCTTTTGCCATCCCTTATTAAGGGTTCACCTAGTCGCATTGTTAATGTGAATTCCATTGTAAGTCTCTTGCTATTTAAAACTGTTATATGTACATAGGACGTGACCTTGCACATCAAAGTCAATGTTTATTCTCATGTATTTTTTTAGTCAAATTATTGCCTTTGACATTTACTTTACTAATGTTTATGAAAAAAAATTTCTTTCGCTAGATGTTTGCTTGATTGAGTCATTATGTGTTGGTTTCTTGTGCCTGAATCTTTTGAAAGTACATGACAATAATCTTCTGATTTATTTTATCAGAAAGAATTTCAAAACTTTTGATACATTGCTGCTTTGCTATCTAAGGCTATTCAATTTGAAATCTTCTGTGCCGCTAGCTAGGATGAACGTTGATGCTTTCTAGAATTCAAATTTAACAGCAAACTAGAAGTTATGAAGGGTTAAATGGTAGATGTTTTCTGTTTAGGAGCATTTCTTGGCCTCCTGATTCCTGGTTGGTGTGCTTTCCCTCCTTGTTTTCTAGCAAAAATTGTTTTATGGTAACAAGAGTACGAGCGACATATGTGATACTGAAATATTTATAGTCTGTTAATGCTTGCAATAAGTTTGTTTTCTTTTTCTTTTGCAGAAAATCAACATCATAAGATATATTTCTTCTTTGTGGTGTATTATCAGGTTATATTTGACACTTTAATTTGCAGGAGATAACAATATTGTTGTACTCTTGCTCAAATACTTGCTTTTCAATGCATAGCTAATTAGCTATATAACCCTTTGCTTAGTTGCAAAAATACAATTTTGTTTTTGTGAACACCTTAAATTTCAAGAATTTGCAAGAGCTATATTTCTTTAATACATGATTCTTACTTGATGAAATACTTGTGTACTTGAAATATTAGGCTTCAAAGAAAATATCTCTAAGAAAAAGACAAATACAGTCAGAGGCTCCATTAATCAGTTGTGTTCCAGGAATTAATAGTCAGATGCTTTATGAAAAGGAAGCATGTCGAACAAGTAATTGATTGGGCCATCGATTAATTCTCTTGGATATTATTCTTTTTCTCTTTAGCTGTTTCATGATTTTTCTATGCTGTAAGTGTTGATTGCTTTACTGTTGTCATCATGGTAAAGTAATTATTCCTAGAAAATTGAAAATTTATTTTATGATGATAATGACTAACTATTTGTATTTTCTTTTAATCTTTCACATTTTCTTTCCCTAATAATCATAGAGTGCTTTGTCTTTTCTTTCCCCCTCTTTTCTGTAGATGCATCATGTTGGCTTTATAGACCCTGAAGACATGAATGTCACATCCGAAAAAAAGAAATTTTCAAGTATGGTGGGGTACTCAAACAGCAAGTTAGCAGAGGTACATGTCTTTCAAAGTTTTTGAGAAATTGATATCTTGCAATTTACAAATAACTTTTTCTTTCTAATGAAGTTTCCAGTTATATTATATGTAGTGATTTATTTCTTCTGCAAAATCTTAAATACTTAGGTTTTAGCAGTAGTGTACAATTCAACCAAGAGTCTTACTGCAAATAAAATATATTATTTTATATGTGTGTGCATATTAACCATTTAATTATTACTGATGTTGATCTTGCACATTGAGTTTCAGAGAACTAACTCAAGTACATAGTGTTTAAGAAGCGTAACATATTAATGTATACTAATTTTAGGAGAGAATACAGAACAATTATGTAAGAATAAGAAATTTTGTAACATGGATTTGCATGATACAGGTATTCATTCTGGCATAAAAACCAGATTATTTCTATCATTCAATTAGAATTCGGTGTGTTGATTTCTTGAGTCTTAACACATTCTAATGGTGTATTTATTCATTGGTGAAAGTTAGCCATCTTATATTTCAATGCTGTCCATTGCAATTGCAAATACATTGAGAGACTGGACATATATCTTGCATTTTTGCATCACTTGGGTTTTATTGTTTTCTTTCTGTTTTAATTTATAGGAGGACCCCACCTCTGCCCCATCCCTGCCCCCAAACCATGGTAGTCAAAATTGTGATTATACTCATAAGATCATACAATCTTATGATTTTTTATATGTTGAGTGATCCCAATCCTAGGATTTGATGCTGTTTTGTAAAATCATTGAACCATGAGATCCCAGCTTGCCGAAAACAAACCTGGTTAAAAAAATTCATTTTTTCATAAAAAAACCCAATTGACCCACATGGTTTTCTTATGACCCAGTTTATAAAACCCAAGACCCGCATGTATTGGTTATTTTCCTGCAACATTTCTTTGCATTCTTTGCTCTTTCTCCTTCAAATCTAAATGTGAGCATGACTGGGTGGGTACTGGGTTGTCTTCTCTACCTCTATTTTGTTGGTGTTGGTTGCTGCTGCACCTGCAAGTTTTAATTGCTGCTGGGTGTTGGTTGCTGTGCCTGTGAGTTTGTCTTGCAAATGAGTTATGGGTGTTCAAATATGAGCCACTGTCTCGGATCTCACTTGTATTCGTCTTCATTTGTTTTGTATTATGCATATTTGTTTCTGATTTTGGTTTCTGGTTGCACTGCCCTGGTCCTTTTGGGTTAGCATTTTGCTATATTTGGCAAGGTGTGGGCTGAGCCATGTGAATAGTTTAGACATAGGTATTGTAGAAAAATGCTTTTCTTTTTTTGTATGAAAACTTATATTATTTAAATAAATAAATAAAATAGTATTTTTAATAGAGTTGTAACTTTTATGGGTTATGACATATTTCTAATTAAATTTTATTAAATGTTATTTGTGATTTTAATGTTACTTCACTTATTTATGGTATTTTTCTTATGTATATATATTTATTCAAATATAATTCTATATTTTAAGTAATATCTTACTTTCCATGTTACAATCCTACTATTTACGTGTTTTCTTCCTCGTCCATCTTACGTGAGATCTTAATTTTGACTACCTTGCCCCCCAAAAAAATAAAGGAAAATACTTATGTATGCTGCATCATTCTGCAAATTGGTATACTGTCAGTAGATGTGGTAGGTAAAAATCTGCAGATTACTTGAATTATGGATGTCATTACACTGCTGACCTCTACACACTTATATCTTTCTAGTTATTCTTTTCATTTAATTTGTTTACAACTATTTCTTTATAGTTTATACTCCGTTTTTGTCATGAATTGTTTCTTTTTGCATTAAATTTTACAATTATATCAATTCAAACTATGATTATGTCTGTGCTAATGTATTAATCCCCCACCCCCCGTCACACACACACATCCACATAGAAGCGCTGAAAAAACACATGCCGTTAGAATTGTGACTTAGATATTTTCCTTTTACTCTCAAAATAATAGCTTATCTGCACTAGCCAAACTATAAGCAGGTGTTTACATACATACTACTTAAAAGGTAACTTTTTAGCATTTTGGTCTTGTTTGTTGCTTAGCTTTTGATAGATTGAATTCACCTGTTTTCTCCCTATTTTTTTCCTTTTGCGTTTGATCTTGTAGTCTGTTGTCAATATTGACTTCTAAAGTTTATTGTAACTGATCAGTGGTACAAAATTACACAAAGGTTAATTGTTTGCTTTACTTTCTTGTAGAAGTTGTGAATGATACAGGAGTTGTCATTTATGTTGCAGGTTATGTTTAGTAGTGTTCTTAATAAACGACTCCCTGCTGAAGCTGGCATCAGTGTAATGTGTGTATCACCCGGAATTGTTCAGACCAATGTTGTAAGTTCTTTGAAAATTTGAATGTCTGTTTCTGGATGGAACATTTTTTTATTGTACTTTCAATCTTATAATACCTATTTTATTTTTACAAATCTGTGACAACTGAACGTAACTTCTGCTGAAGAATCAACCTAGGATATAATTGTTCTTTTGCAAGAGGTCAACAGAGGACTCTAAGAAATTATCTTTTGCTTGAGAATATTTTCCCTGTAATTTTCTCCTCCCTTTGCCATTATCGTGTCAACCTTGTCGAGAAAACAATGTAGATGGGGGAGGGAGAAGATTATATTAGTTGGGGCACAATTTTGTACTATAAGTAATTTAGCAAAACCAGAAAAAAAATTGAAAGAATTCTAGGAAAATGGATATACAAGGTACTTTGAGGACCTGCAACCTCCCTCTCCAAACTTTTTCCCTCAAAACTGAATCCCTCCATCTCTTTCTTGTCCTTCCCTTTTAAAGTTCTGCCTCTAACAACCAGCTGCATGAACAGGTGGTCACAATTAGAACTCCCATACTCTTCCCTCTACCCATTTGATTGAAAGAGACTATACCCTACTTCCCTTTCTACTAGATGTACCTAGTAGTCTGATGGAACATATTAGCTTGTTTTGTCAGATTAATATTTATTTTAAGATGTCTATGTTTGACAAAAGTAGATGGATGAAAATTAACAATGGATGAAGATATTTGTTTAATGAAACTTTTGGCTATTTGTTAGAATAAGCAAGTGTCAATCAGATCGAAGAGGATGTATGAATCTTGAGGTTGGTTAAACAAGACTGAGAGTGAGATGTATCTAGAACTGCATACAATTACAAATAAATACCTCCAATTCTAATAGTAAATTTTCTGATTCATAATATTGTATCTATTGGTTCTGAAGCCTAGGCTGCTAACGGCATGCTTGTTTTAGATTTTGGAGGATTCAGAGCCTTCTTGGCCCTCTCAGGACTTGGCCATAGAATAATTTCATCCTGTTTTTATAACTTCAGTGCTATAATTTATTGTCATAACATTTTGCCAACGGGGCAATTATGATTTGTGAGTTGAAAGTTATTGAGTTCAAATCTCTGAAGCGAGGCTTGGTAATTTTTTGTTGCGTAATGGGATATAGATGCTGTTTGATTCCTTGGTTTCACTGCATTATTCAACAATTTCCTGCTTTGCTTTCAACTTTATTTCAGGCAAGAGATCTTCCAAAAATTGTTCAAGCTGCATATCACTTGATACCTTACTTCATCTTTAGTGCTCAAGAAGGTCTGTTTACTCACCACTTTCAACCTAAAGCTAGAAATACTTAACAATATACGTTTTTAAGACACTATTATGACTGTTGCCTGTTTTTAATATTTTGGATGTGGCTCGATTTTGAATGCGTTGTTCTAAGCAATTCAGGGAAATCACATGCTCTCTCTTTCTCTCTACTCTTCTTTTAGTTCTAACGTTTTGGTAATCTTGAAATTTATTTCATTTTCTCTAGTAAAATATGGAGCTTAGTTTTGGCAATATATTACTCAAACATGATCCTATGCTATAATCAATTGACCTAACCATCCTAGTCGATGGGTATTTTGTTAGAGTGAAAATAAAACATCTGTTGGGTCCAAGCCAACTGGGCCTCCACTTAAGACATACCAGAGAAGGAGGGGTAAAATAGGGAATGTGGGCAGGGAAGCTGTTATGCAAGATTCTAATAGATTAACAAGTGAATGATGTGGCAAGAGTGAGGGAGTGCGGCTGAGGGAAGGATATATGGTGGATGATAAGAGTGAATAAGGTAGGAAATATCCGGGAGGTTATTGGGGGGGTGGCTGCTACCATAGGAGAAGTTTCATTTGTCATTGCTGTCTTTTTGTTATTTCTAGCTTTCTACTTGTATTACCAGGGTATTCCCTGAGCTTTCGTGTTAATACAATAATACACTCAGTTCCTATCAAGTTGGTATCAAAGCTCTCGATCCTGGGAGTGCCTGATGGTATCGACTCGAATGGAGAATCTATTGGAAAACATCGAACGAAGGTTGGAGGGCCTGCAGATCGCTATGCAGGAGGAGTTTAGGAGGTAGATGGACGAGATGATGTCGGTGATGACAACAAGGTTCGAATAAGCCTTACAAGTGGTGAGGGCAGAGAGGGAAGGTGAGAACAATAACTAAGAAGGTGGCAATGGTGAGGGCGATGCTTAGAGAAGGGAGGAACGGGTGAAGCGAGTGAAAGTTCCCTACTTCGCATGGGATGACCCATATGGATGGGTGAATAAGGCAGAGTAGTACTTCGAAATTAATGGCATTCTCGAAGCAAAGAAGGTGGATACTGCAGTGGTTTGTCTGGAGGGGAAGGCGCTCAACTGGTACCAATAGTTGGAACCGCGGGTTCCGACAACCTCATGGCCTGCGTTCCAATAGGCATGGTTGGGACGTTTCTAGTCGTCATCATCAGAGAACTCATACGAAGCATTAATGGGATTATAACAAAGGGGAATGGTCTTGGAGTACAGGGAACAATTTGAGCTATTTTTTGCCCCTCTTCGCTTTGCCGATGAAGAATTTATGATTGGAGCTTTCCTCAATGGCTTGAAGGAAGAGATCAAAAGCAGAGGTAAGGTTGAGAGACTCTGGAGATTTGAGCACTATCATGGAAATGGCATAGAAGGTCGAAGAGAAAAACAGGGTATTGGGCCTTTCATATGGGCTTACTTTTAAAGGGTATTGAGCCGAAACAGGAGGAGCCCAATACACGCCTAGGCAGAGTTGGACCAGAAGGAGCGAACCCACTTCCTCTTTTGGGCCTAGGGTTCCTAATCGCCCCAGTGGGAGCCGCGTTGAGACCCAAGGGAACCAAAGTAACTCTTGTGACCCTTTCGCAACCCCCTCACACTGCAGAGGCCTAGGGTTCAAACGACTGATCGAGGAGGAGGAAAACAAGAAGAGGCGGAGGGGACTCCATTTTTGCTGCGATGAAAAGTTTTTGCTGGGTCACGTTTGTCGCAATAAACAGCTCCACATCATCCTGCTAGGAGAAGAGGATGCAGCTCAAGAGGATGAAACAAAAGAAGTAAACCTCCAGCTAAATGCAAGTAGTATCGCGGGTATAACCTCAAAAAATTCATTTGAAACTATGGGGAACGATCTCGGGGAAGCGGGTATTCGTGATGGTGGACTCAAGAGCATCACATAACTTCCTGTCACTAGGTCTGGTAGAAGTGCTAAAAATTCCCACCGAAACCACGAAGGGATACTTTGTTGAAGAGGGAGATGGGCAAAGGTTGGGAAGCCAAGGTGTTTGCAGGGGAGTGGTGTTGGAACTACCCAACTTACTAGTAGTTTAGGACTTTTTCTTGTTTGACTTGGTGGGGATGTATGTGATCCTAGAGTACAAATGGCTCAAGAGCTTAGGAAAATTTAGTGCTGATATGCAACAACACTTGATTGAGGTGCACAAAGATGGGAGAATTATTGAGGTAAAAGGCGACGTAGGACTATCCAAGATAGTGGCTTCATTAAAAGCCAAAAGGAAGAAGCTAAAGGGGGAGGCTGAAGCTTATTATGTAAAGCTGGGTATGATTACGGTGGGATGTACAGAATTACCTACTCAGGTGGCATCGACAGCTCTAGAGGCTATGAAGGAGCTATTGAGGGAGTTTAGCGAATTGTTTAAGGAGGGTACAGCCCTCCTACCTCTAAGGGAATGTGACCATGCCATAGTTTTGAAGGAAGGGATTACTATTCCTAACATTTGTCCTTACCGGCATCCTCATTGCCACAAGGAAGAGATTGAAAGGTTCGTAAGAGATATGTTGGCAGCAAGCTTGATCAGACCAAGTACCAGCCCTTACTCTAGCCCACTAATTCTAGTCAAGAAAAAAGATAGTAGCTGGCGCTTCTGTGTGGATTACCACGCCCTTAATAGTATCACTGTCCCGAACAAGTTTTCCATTCCAGTCATTCAAGAATTGTTGGATGAGTTGAGAGTGGCCACAATCTTCTCTAAACTCGACCTGAAATTAGGCTACCACCAAATACGTATGCAGCCAGAGGACATTGCTAAAACAGCCTTCCAAACACATGAAGGACACTACGAGTATGTTGTAATGTCATTTGGGTTAACCAATGCCCCCTCAACTTTTCAAGCCCTGATGAATAAGATTTTTAAACCCTATTTACGTAAATCTGTATTAGTCTTTTTTTATGATATTTTAGTGTATAGCTCATATTACTCTTCCCACATTGACCACTTGGGTGTAGTTCTTCAGTTGCTGAGAAGCCAAGAGCTATGGATCAATGGTAAAAAGTGCAGTTTTAGAGAGTCACAATTGGAGTATCTTGGACACATAATATCTTCTGTTGGAATCTCTGCTGACCCTGCAAAGGTTTCTGCAATGAAACATTGGCCAGCACCCACGGACATTCGCAATTTGAGGGGTTTCTTGGGTTTGTCAGGGTACTACCGCCGCTTTGTTTGGAATTATGATGTTATTGCTAAACCCCTCACGCAGTTATTGAAGAAGAATAATTTCAAATGGACAAGAGAGGCACAAATGGCATTTGAGCAGCTTAAGCGAGAGATGGAAGTTTTGCCAACTTTAGCTATGCTGAACTTTGATCTACAATTTGTGATCGAGACTGAAGGCTCAGGGTATGGATTAGGGGTATTTTTAATGCAACAAGGCTGACCCCTGACCTTTATTAGTCAAGCTCTATTGGACTAAAATAAGGTGAAATCAGACTATGAACGTGAGTTAATAGCAATTGTGTTCTCTGTTCAGAAATGGCACCAATATTTGTTGTGCAATCACTTTATTATCCTAATTGATCAGAAGAGTTTTAAGCTTCTATTGGAGCAATGTGTTTTGGTGGGAGAGCCGCTAAAGTGGGTAACCAAGCTAATGGGTTTCGATTTTGAAATTCAGTACAAACGGGGGCTAGAAAACAATGCAGTTGACACGTTGTCTAGAGTAATGAATTATAATGTCATATCCATGGTCACTAACGCTGACTTAGTAGATTTGGCTGAAGAGGTTCTTGGAGATGAAGTGTTGAAGGGAATCATGCAGCAAGTGGTGGCATATCCTAACTCCCACCCACATTATTCAGTTTCTCAAGGCATAAACAGAGGCTAATCCTGCCTAAGCAATCTGCTCGCATTCCATTATTGTTAGCAAAATTCCATGCCTCACCTTGGGGGGGCCATTCTGGAGTAACAAGGACTTACAAGAGGTTGGCCATAGTTTTCTATTGGACTCGGATGAAACAAGATGTGGAAAAATTTGCCGCTAGCTGTCAGGTTTGTCAATAAAGTAAGCACGAAACCTTGAAACCTACAGGATTACTTTAGCCTTTGCCCTTTCCAATGCATGTATAGGAAGACATCTCGATGGATTTTATTGGAGGACTTCCCAAGGCTAAGGGAGCTGACAGCATTATGGTGGTGGTAGATAGACTGAGCAAATATACCCATTTCATCCCGTTACTTCACCCATATTCCGTTAAGGAAGTAGCCACTGTATTTGTAAAAGAAATCGTTCATTTGCATGGATTCCCTACATCCATAGTTTCAGATCAAGATAGAATCTTCATCAGTTCATTTTGGAAGGAGTTATTTCGTCTCTTGGGCACCAAGTTGAAATTCAGTTCTGCGTACCATTCTCAAACAGATGGCCAAACTAAAGTAACTAACTGCACCATTAAAGCCTATTTAAGGTGTTTTGTGAGTGATCACCCTCGTCAATGGGTGAATTGGCTACTATAGAGGAAATTTTGGTTTAATTCTTCATTTAATGCTTCTATTAAGATGGCCCCTTCAAGGCACTTTATGGCCGTGACCCTCCCATGATTATCCCTTACTATCGGGGCAGTACCGTGGTGGCTGAGGTAGACCATTTGTTACTGCTACGGGATAGCATCATAGAGGAGCTCAAACAACATTTACTTAGAGCACAAATGAGAATGAAAGGACAGGCGGATAAGGGGCGGCAAGAACTAGAATATCAGATTGGGGACATGGTATACCTGAAAGTTCGATCATATAAGTTGAAGTCATTGGCAAAAAAGGTCAATGAAAAATTGAGCCCCCAGATTTTATGGCCTTTTTTGCGTGGAAGAAAAAATAGTTGTTGTTGCTTATAAATTATCGCTGCCACCGATTGCACCCTATTTTTCATGTTTCCCAACTTAAGAAGGCTCCCCCTACTAGTCAACCTAGTCAAGCACTGCCCCCATTTTTAACAAAAGAATTGGAGCTCCAAGTTGAGCCTGAAGAGGTGCTGGATGCCAGGAAACTCATGAATGGTTGCTGGGAGGTTCTTATTAAATGGAAGAAGTTGCCTAACAAAGATACGGTAAAATAGGGAATGCGGGCAGGGAAGCTGTTATGCAAGATTCTAACAGATTAACAAATGAATGAGGTGGCAAGAGTGAGAGAGTGCGGCTGAGGGAAGGATATATTGTAGATGATAAGAGTGAATAAGGTAGGAAATATCTGAGAGGTTATTAGGGGTGGCTGTTGCCATAGGAGAAGTTTCCTTTGTCATTGCTGTCTTTTTGTTATTTCTAGCTTTCTACTTGTATTACCAGGTTATTCCCTGAGCTTTCATGTTAATACAATAATACACTCAGTTCCTATCAACATCACTTATTCTGCAATGCAGGTTCAAGGAGTACTCTATTTGCTGCCACTGATCCTCAAGTTCCAGAATATTGTGAAATGTTGAAAGCAGATGAGTGGCCCGTTTGCGCCTATATTTCTCAAGATTGTCGTCCAGCAAATCCATCGGAAGAAGCGCACAACATTCAAACATCGTATGAAGTGTGGGAGAAGACATTAGAGATGATTGGCCTTCCCTCAGATGCTGTGGAGAGGCTTATAGAGGGGGAAGAAGTTAAATGTCGTTATGGACAAGAACAGTAATCTAATTTACAATGATGAATGCAAAACACTTGAGTCGCTGAAGAGTCCTCACATGAGCACCCTCTAACATAACGTACAAGGGCACTTCCATTATTTATGACAAGTAATGAGCATTTCATTTGAATCTGTTGGAGAAGAACCCTTCTATACACTTTGGATAAAATATGTACATCCATTTTGATCATATTTATGTACTCTAATGCCACCTTCTTTTGACCTAAGTTTTGCTGACATTTTGATGATCATCCATAGGAGTAAGAACTAAAAGCACCATGTTGTAATAGTTATTTTGACCCATGCCAAAAGGTGACTGTCCTAATTAAGTAAAAATGGGTTTCAACATTAGTTTTGCTTTCAATTTTGGAATGTTATCATGCAGTTCATTACTTTCTTTGGGTGGATTCTTCACGTATTTGTGAGGCCTAGATTATTATATGGTCAGGTTCTTTCTTATGCTTCGTAATGTTGTTCTCAAGAATTTTGTCACCCTGCTTGTCTTCCACTTGTTATCTGCTATATAATTTAAAGAATGTTTGTTTCAGAGTAAATTTAATTTTGATACAATTAATGTTAAACTGTCGATTATAACAGATGTGTGTTCAAACCAATACTCGTTCCATTTGAATGCATGTTTTTCTTCGAATGAAAAGTGTGAAAATTAATTTTTCAATGTCAAAGCAAAGAGCTTAGAGCCTTTCATTTCAAGTTTTTCTTCCATGCAAAATCATTTTTATTTTGGTAAACAATCACTTTTGAAAACTAGTGTTTGTTCAAGTTTACGGAAAAAACAGAATACGAAAAAACTCTGATTATTTTGAGAATTTTTCAATAACTTTTCAGAAAAAGATGAAATTATAAATAAAAGTGCTTTTTATAATCGTAAACAAATAAAATATAACTTTTACTTTTTATAAAATCACTAAAACTCAAATTGCTTTTTCATAGTCTTATAATCAATTTTCAATTTAGTCGTCTTAGCTTTGGAGACAACATTCATCCAAACGTTTGCTTCTTTCTTTTTTTTGAAATAAAAAAGAAAACAATGATTAGTGGGGCAGAAAGCATCTCAGTACCATGATTTAAAATTAAGTTGCACCATACTTTTTTTTTTATAGAAATTTAGGCAATCATTTGATAATATCATAGTAGCGATTTTTGTGCCATGATGCAAGGATCAAAGGAAAGAAACATTTTTCATGATCATGGGTTTGGTTTGATCTGACGACCTAACTACTTTAGTTAATTTATAAATTATGATTTTGATTGAACTTGAATTAACTCGGTTTTTTTACTGGTGTATAGTAATCTGATCTAACCTAAACTAATTTAATCACCTTAATTTTATACAAAATTATTTTAATTATTTCAATTTATAAATATAAAATGATGCTTTATTAAATTTAAAGGAAAAACTCAATATGATTATCCTACTGAAAGTCTTAAACTAACCTGACAATAATCAAATTAGATTTAGCTCAGTTAATAAAAATTTACACTCAATCCAATTCAATTTAATCCGAGAAACTTTGATTTCTATGTTTGCTCAAAATTCACCTAACTTAACCGGTAATTACTCCGAACTCGTTGCTGCGACAGTAGGAAAAAAAAAAGTTTTGTTTTTATCATATTTCAGTGTCTGTTCTGATATTTTCATCTGCTTCTTTTCAAGAACAAATGACTATTTTTCATAACATGGACAGCACTTTATCTTGGGGCAACACATTGAAAGCAAGTCCGGAATTTTAGCAATGATCTTTCTAGATATTAAAAGCCATTTTTCTCCCAATGTTTGAAAAGGAAATTCTAAATTGGGTATTCTCTAATTTGTCTTTTATTGAACTGGGCCATGTTGTATAGTTTCCCTTTAAAAAATTTTGTGAAGTATTTCTATAATGTGAAATACTATGAAATGTAGCAATTCTATGTAGCTTCTACTTGTGTCTATATAACTGGAAAAGAAAAAAAAAACGTTGTTGATTGCAAAAGGTTTTTTTTAGCTAAGGAGTTAAAATGATGTGTAGCTTCTGTCCATTTTCACATTGATATTTTACTCCACAAGTTAACCATGCTCTGCCTTCCTTTAAAACAACTCAGTCATTGCCACTGCTGAACTTGTGTATACGAGGCCTTAATGCAATTCTCATAAGTTGAATCAACTTGCTAGATGTAGTAAATAAGATAGGCCACTTTCTCTGTTAAGCACAATTAATAAAAGTATCGACAAGTAGAATTGCATCTTATGAAAACCTCTCAAGATAGGAAAAAAATTTTAGTGATTCGAGACCATGTGATCTTAACCACTCACAGCTTGACACTTGTTTACCTTTTAAAAAAGTACATGCGTGTTGCATTACTATTGATTGAAACTACGGTAATTTGAGATTATAGGAAAAATTCTCTTCAAAATAGAGATTTCAGTGAAATGACACTAGGACAAACTACATACATGTATTATTCTACGTTTCATATTCATCTCAAAGGAGTGATCCAAATCGTCCATTTCATTTAATGATAAGAGAACTTTATGAAATGACAATTAAATACTTCAGAAGATCCTAATTTTTCTCCAGTCACAGGCCTATCATCAAGGATTATAGGAAATTACAGTTACTTTTTTTGTATTTATATAATAACATAGCTTATGTGAATTAAGCTACATTGTCATAATGTTTTTTCTTTATATGTCTAATAATGTTGTTTCTGTCAAACATATTTTGTCCTCTTATATCCTCTTCTATTTAATGGAGAGAGAGTTTGTGTATCAAATTATACCAAAATCAACGACTCTTTATGTTTGTATAACAATGAATTTCTTACAAACTTTTCTTTTTGTAAACTTTATTTAGGATATTTATACACTAGTTTGTGAGTAAAAGTTGTTCTGCACTTGCCTGTTCCAAAGTATCCTATGCATTAGAAAACTTCTGTTAAAGAACTAGATTTGTATTGTTTTTACCATTATAAGAATAATATTGGTTTTTATGGTAAAAAAAATAATATAGAAAAAAAAGTGCAGAATTATGAGAAGAATGAATAAAAAACACTTAAAATTATTGAATAAAAACACCACGTTTATAACAAATTAAATAAACAAAAATTAATTATATAACCAAAAGATTGATATCAAATTTAAATAAAAAACTAAATTATTTCTAAAATTTAGAAACTATTTGTTGACTATAATATTAATCTAATAAAACAACAAAAAATAAATAAAAATAATTTCAAAAGTACATTATTAACAAGTATATTATTTATATGAGATATCATAAATATGAGAAAAAATGCAAATGATATGCTTAACCAGTATTATAAAATTAGTATTTAAGATGTTATCTTTATAGTCCGTAAGACTCTGTTAGGACTTGGTGTAGAGTCTAAAGCTTCTAAAAAGAAGGGAGAAAAAATGGTATAAATATCATTAAAAGTGAGTAACTAATTTCACCTTTTATGTAATGAAAATATAATATTGTGCTTCATTCTGAGATATTATAAATCATAGATGTTTGGATATTGGACTTGATTTTATAAAATTATATCAGTTCTGTTAATTTTTTCATGGTGTAATGTTCCCAATAAAATGATTTGTTATTTTGATGATATGCTAACAAAAGTTATTTATGAACATGCAAAAATAAACAAAAGTAGTTATATGATTGTACGTGCTCAGGGCACAGTTCTAAAAAATAATGTAGTTATGGGTCTTCTGAAGATTTAAAAAAATGTACATTAAAAAATCTAAAGTGATTTTTTGGAGATACACCACTTTGTCAATGGGGGGATTGTAATAAAATCATTTAAACTAGTTCATCATTATTCTGCCTTGTCATCAAAACAAACCATATCAGGATAATAATATAGCAGAATAAATCAACCAAAATAGTGAGGCAAAAAACAAACCCATTCTAGCTTTTACAAGATAATATTAACTGATCTACAATTAGTTTGGTCAAGGATTAGCTAGAAGTGGTTCACATGCACTCTACTTCAAAGGCCCCATATTGGAATGTACACCACCATGGCTTACAAGTAACCTAGTAACCTACTACTACCTTTCAAGAGCCAAAAAGTATACATAAAAGTATTTTAATAAAACTTCTGTGGACACAAAAACCACCACCCATCAAATCCTTAAGCACATGTTGGATTAGTCCCACACAGTAACAAGTCCATGTTCTTGAGTTTTTTCCATAAACTATGGCCTTTCTTCCCATCATATTTCTTCCCAGAAGTGTTGCCATCTTTCCACTTGAACCTTCTAAGCTTCTCCATCTGAACACACACCTCCAAAGCTATTCCCTCATTGGTCTTCACTTTGCTATCATCCTCTTCACCATCTCTTCTCAAAAGTCTCTCGTAGTACTCTTTGTTCCTCTTCTCCAACCCATGTATCTGTGCTTGAAGATCTTCAATTTTCCTATGGAGCAAGTACACTCTATGATCCTCCCTCATCTTCAGCACACACTTAGCTAACTCACCAGCTTTCCTCTTAATGAACACCGACTCAGATGCAAGCTCTTTGTTCTCTTCCACCAAAGTATTGACTCTATAGCTCAAACTTGCATTCTCATTCAACAAAACAATCCTCTCAGACTCCAACACCTCAAGCAAGCTCTTCTGAAGCTCACTTTTCCTTGATGACTCACAGTACTTCCTCTCCATGACGCCAACCTCATGCATCAACACATCATATTCAACATTCCTAATCACAAGCTCAGCCACAATGGCATCCAAATCGAGTATGGAGCTACTCCTAGGTAGAATCATCGGCATCATCATGGGTAGGGGATGTTGGTAAGAGATTGAGCTTTCAAGATCTGAATCAAAATGACTAACACCACTTACTTCTTCCTGGTCAGAAAAGCCTTCATCCACAGTTGAGACTTGAGAAGAGTGTCTACTATGACTCTGATGCTTGTGCTTGGCTAATGTTTGGATATAACGGTCGGATAAGGTGATATAGCCATTATACAAGTCCTGCAAAAGGGACAACAGTTGAGGCCTCTTTTGGTAGTAAGACTCTGCTCTTTCTGCGAAAGTATCACCAATCTCTTCATCTTCTGTTGTGGTCATTGCCAACACTTTCATTCTCTCCTCCAAGTCTGCCATCAAAGACCAAGTTTCACATTTGAATTAGAGTGTATTCGAACACAAAAAGTTTATAACAATGATTTAACACAAAAATTCCAATTAATAAAGTTAAAATCAAAGTAGATCTATATGCAACCTAACATGAAACCATACGTGTAATATTAGTTATGTGCAAGAAAAATAATCCACAAAGAACAATGCTTTTCCTTACTAGATTTACACAATTCCATAGCTTCAGAACCATAAAGTCACAACATGTAACAATATTGACATTTTGATGCATACGCAAGGGGTGTTAATATAGACCAGATCCCTCAACTTGATTGATGAGTGATTTGAACTCTAAGAAAGTGACAGGTTAACTATACATGACACCAGAAAAGGGAACACTGACAGAACCCATAAATAATTCTGGCAAGAAAGATAAAACGCTTTAACGGAATTAAATAGTGTATGACTAATTTGAAAATATATTTTGAATTTGTTCTAACGAGTTAGGCGTAAGGGTATGGCACTATAGTGTCTAGTCTATGTTACATCAACCTCTAGTTTTGAATGCAAAGGTCAGTATCATGTACTACACCTGATGCATGTGGTACTGTTGACAAAAAAGCTCTTACCCTCCAACTTTTAATTTTTTAAGAGTAAATCCAATAAAGTTTAAGAGAATATGTGCACAGGCCACGAGGCTTAAATGGAAAGGTCACCGATACAAATGACACCAAAATCTAATGTACACTGCAACAAGCCAATGACATGGATAGGGACCATTATTTAATATGTATGTGGCCACCACTAGACCCATTTTAGTTTCAAAATTTGAACACTTTGAATGTCCAAAAAGCTCAGCAAAGGCCAAACAAAAGGGTATAGAAAGAGACAACGGATGCATTGCCAGCACAAAGACAAATGGGTGTGAAAGTCGGGTTCAAATCAAATTGGAAATTTGAAAACACATAGACACCAGAAGGGTAGACCTGTCAACAGCCACCTATGAAAAAGACATATTGACACGTAATATCAATTTTTTCTACCTTTTTCTTCACCACAATCAATACAAACTTTGAAATATATTACCAAAATATAATATTACAGTAGTATAAAATTACAACATATAACAATATATTATAAAAAAATTATCCTATATTTTAAGATAGAATTTAAACATTTAAGAATAGTACTTTTTATTAAAAAAAAAAACTATTTATTACTCTTCTAATAACTTTGCTACTTCTGAGTTCTTGAAGTCACCCTAATATTTAAAGTTAACAAAAATTCATTATTATAATCCAATAATTCAAATTTAAATTCAATTTTTAATAGAGCGCGTGTGATAAAGCGCGTGGTATAAGTGATGTTTGATAAAAATGTAACAAGGTAAATAATGATGTACGGCGTTGTTGTTCCCAAGGGGCTTAGACGTTTGACAGTTGACAGGGACATATCTGCATGGGTTGATTCTTCTTCTTCATCCATTGCTTCTTCTTCCATTGATCATTGCTTGGAAAAGGTTGCTACCGTTCAACATAACTTGTAACACACCAGAAGCATGTGACCCCATTAAATTCAGATTTCTTCGTTCATTTATTGGGGATCTATTTCACCTTTCTTTTTCTGCTCCATGCTCATTAAATAATTATCCATTAATTCATTTCATATTATGATATTATTTTATGTTATATGATCTAGATATTCAAATATAGCCATCCACGTCATTAACAACTTCATACCAATCACACTACAAACAAAAACCAAAAGACTTGTATTAATATGTAAAAGGGTGTTTATTGTTGGCTTTACTTAGATTTCAATAAAATATAATTTTAATAAAAATATTTAAATTTATGCAAAATTAATACTGAGTAATGAATTATACATGATTTTAGTTGGAAGTTAATTAAAATTATTTTTATATAAATTTGAATCATTAAGCATAACTAAAATATGTATCTAAATTAATACAAACCACAAGTTTGAAAGGAGTAAAAAAAATTACCCTGACCTGACTCCATTAAAAACAGACAAATAAACAGGCCTTTCATTTCCTTCAATCTTTCTTTTTCATATATTATATTATCCAACATCTTTCAGAACTATTATTCGTCTCTCCTGTCTCTTTCTACCTCTACATGTAAACAACTAAACATGGGATTCACAAAACATTTTCTGTTCATTAAAGCATGTATCTTCATTAAAAATCATGAAAACTGATTTTATAATTTTAAAATAATCCAAAATAAATTTATAAGGGCATCTCCATTATTTTCACTAGTTCAAAATCAAACTTATTTTATTAAAATTAACTTTACCCAATTTCAAATATATATTTAAAAGAAACTAAATATTTTTTATTAAAAGTTGTAACATTTACCTTAAAAAAAAGTTACAAAAACCATAGAAGTAAAATGGTTTTGGGTACGGTATGGTGAATTTAATACATACCAGAAATGCTGGTGAGAAGCCAGGAGGGCATGTTATTGTTGGGGATGCTCTTGTCCTTATACCCTTTTGTGGAAGAGAAAATCAATGGGGAATTTGAAATCACTTTTTCCTTGCCCGTGTCCATAAAGTTTGGGTCCCTCTCCATTAATAATACCCTTGCTTCAAGGACCCTCTATACATTGCAATTATAATACATGAGATCAACAACAACAACACAATCTAAGGGAAACCAAAAAAAAAAGGACTGTTGCCAGAAATAGATGGTCCTTTGCATTTAATAATAATGACAAAGTGTGGAACAAAGAACAGCTACAAAAGATGTACAAGAGATATTAAGGAGGAAAAGACGGAAGCATACATAAACACATTTATAAGCACAGATCTCTATAACAATGCATCAACTAATTACTAATAAAGTAATGGCATAACCTCACAGTGATAAAAACAAAGCTACCCACATTGTTTTGAAAGTGAAAATTGTTGAGTTTAAACTAGGCATTCAGAATATAGCAATAAACCCAAATCCCAAAGCATTCTAAACCTGTGTATTCTGAAATTCAAAAAGGAAATTTCATTTTTTTATTTATCAATCTTTTCAAATTCTGTGGTTAACCCGGGATTCAAAGAAGATCATGTGAACGGCTTGACAAAGAATACCAATATGAAGTTTCAGGAATCAACCAACAGAAGAACAAGAGAACCCAGAACAAAACACTTTCCTATTTTCTCTGCGTGTTCCGCTTGTTTGGCACCAGAGAAAATCAGTGGAAAAGCGAGAGAAAGTTGGAAACTTTTTAACATTAGTCCATTAAATTTGAAAAACAAGACATACCCATCAAAGATCAGATACATTGTAAAACGATGCAACAAACACAAACAGAAGATTGCATGCCATTCAAAAATCAGTCCATTAACTCCACAGTTACAGAGTACTCTGCTATTGTCTGAGATAAAATGACCATAAAAGTTGGATTTTCAAACTTTTAAATTTGAAAACAAAAAGGAAAAGAAGAACAAAACAGCAGTAGTAGAATAAAATAGTGAAGTGAAAGACAGGAGAAGGAGCTCACCTTGAGAAGTGTTGGAAAAGGGATTGATTAGAGGGTAATGAAGTGAAACAGAGTAGAACTGAGAAAACAGGTTGATGACAAGTAGCAGAAGCAGTTTCCAGAGAGGGATATGATATGATTTGAAAGAAAGATATATGTTTTTGCAAGTGATGATATAAGAGAAAGGAACTTTGATGAAAAGGGAAGAACCATATCAGTGTCAGTCCAACAGGTAACACCATATAGTCAAAAGCAATCACTCAAAATCAGGGAGGACTCTGTCACACGGTAACAATGCTAACCCAAAAAATCAGATATTTATATATTAAATTAAAAACACAGTTTAATAAAAGTTTATAGCTGAAATTAAGTGATGTGTGTATTTTAATTATATTTAACGATTTAAAATTAACTCTATTCAACTTTCCATTAAATGTATACAAATTGAGTGCCTTTTATTTTTCCTCTGCCTAGAATAGAAAAATTATCTATATCAATGGATATCCAGAAGCAAAAATCCATAACGGGTAAAGTTACATGGATCCTTGAATTATTGGTATAAGCTTAATCAAATGGATTTGTTTTATCCACTTATTAATAGGGCATTCTGAGTATTAAGGTACCTACAAGTACGTACGTACAATATTATTATGTATATTTAAATATTGTATTTTGATAATTGTAACAAAATACTATATTATTTTTATAATTTAAACACTTTACATTTTTATTCTAATTATATTTCTATATAAGTTACTTTAAATTAAGTAATTTTTAAAAAATTATAATTTTTTCGTTTAACGGATACTTACATGGATATGGGCTGAAAGGGGGCCAATTATTTATTCGCGAGTACATATAACTACTATTCATACATGTTATTGTCCCCTTGACATTTCTAAGTCCACCTAACAATATTTTTTTAAAAATAAATTATTAGCATGAATTACAAGACACATTTAAAGGGCTTAATGTCTTTTTTATTTACTAGAGAATCAATTTTAATTATTGTAAACATCCTAGCAAGATCCTGCATGTTTGAATTCTCACTAAGAAAACTATAATTGATTTTGTTTATCAATTTTATAATAAATAGTTACAAATTGAGTGCCTTTAAATTCTCCATTCGCCTAACAAAACAAAGTTAAAGAAAATTGAATTAATAGATATAAGGAGATTTCAGAAAATCAATTATAGTTTTCACAACAACTTGAGGGGTATAAGGTGAAATTAGGTGGGATTGGGAATGTTGAATACTTGTCATGGCTAGGTGTATGAGAACTTTCCAACTGTATGTAAGAATTATATTACAAAATTTGATTAAAAAAAAGGATTAAAATGTAAAAGGTTGTTAATTAAAAAACTTTAAGGATCATTTGACATTTATAATACATTTAAACATATTATGCTATGTCACGTAATGAGAAAATTCCCCCTCCAAATTGTGAAGGTAGCAGAGCAATCCTCCATATATAAGTTATCAACACAAGTTAGGGGATATATTTAATGGACTTGATATATTTTTATTTTCATTAGATGGTCAATTGATTATTGTGAAGATTCTGCTTGATTTTGTATACTTTGATAGAGAGTTTTAGTTTTAGTTTCTCAAAACCAAAAACATCTTGGATAAGATTAATCAATTACCACTTCCAATAAAATTGATTCTAAGTGTGGCACGAACAGAATATTTATCTTATTTTTGCCATGTAATCCCTGTTAAGGTTTTTTTTTTTCAAATAATTATTCAGATAAAAAAATATTAATTTAATTATACTTTTAGTTTCTTTAATTTGAATCACATACCATTTTAGTTTTTTTTTTAACTAATTAAATCTTACTCTAAAAATTAAACAAATTTATTTTCGTTGTAAATATTTTTAACTGATATTTCTTAAATTCTAATTTTTCATTTAATTATATTATAAATTAAATCAGTTAGATTTTTAAACTTTCATTTACTCAAAACACATACTAAAATATTAAGTTTAATCAAAATACATAAAAATTCAAAAGTTCCCTTTTTTAAATCTTATCCTTCTAAAAGATATTGGGTAGTACTTCCCTAAAAGTACCATTTATTCCATCTCTTCTTATTAGCATAGACAGTAGAAAAACAAAACTGGTGTATTTAATGTAAATTTTTTTATAAAATTGGTTACAGTTAGATGCTGTTAAAATATAATGTTAGGTGAGATGTGTAAAAGTGTGTATAAATCACAACATTCAAAGATAACCCATAGAAAGTATAAATTAAGAATACATTACTAATTGAGATGCTATTGTTATGGCAACCAAGCATGTATTAGTACACAACATGCAACCACTCCAACATGATAACTTTAATTTACCTAATCCAATCAGTTTTGGACTCAACCCAATTTCTATTTACACCATCTTCTCTTCAATTATTTTCCCAGCTCAAGGCCAACATCATGAGACATCCAGTTATGTTTTTCCTCCTCTTCTTGTTGCTTCAATGTCTCATACAAAGGAGCATTTCTAGTCTCAGGCAACCAAATGCTTAAAAATCCACTAACAATTGAGAAGGTCCCAAATACTAGAAAAGAAAGAGATGGGCTCAACCGGCCCAACACAACCAACACAGGTGCCACTGAGGCCCCTAACATCAAAGCCTGACGCAGCATTGACACCGCAAAGTTCCTCACATTAGTAGGAAAAAGCTCCACACAATATATGTACAACACATCAAATGCAGTGGAAGCACCCATGAACCCAATTGCTTCAATAATAAGTTGACTCCAACTACCTCCATATTTACTATGATCATGCACTTTTGAAGTACTTCCTTTGTGCGCAAAGAATGTGCACAAAATAGAAGAGACAGCAGCTATATAAGAGGACACTGAAAACAACAAGCGCCTATTGGTAAAGCCCAAGAAAAAGGTACCCATCAACACTGCAGGAATCTCCATGAGTGCATTAAGTGCAACTGAGACATAAAGGTTGAAGTCCAAGTTTTCCACATTTAGTTGAACTCCATAGTAAACAAAACCAACTCCAAAGCCAGATAACATAACAATGACCATTCTTATAGCTGCCCATCTTGTGGTCCAGAGGCTCTCTTTGTTGTTTAGGCCTTTTTCACCTTCATTGGTGCATCCAGCTTTGGGTCCACAAGGGTTAACCAAAGAGAGGTTATTGGGTAGTTTTTTCTTTCCATTGTGTGTAGCAAACCTATCCAAAACTTCAAGGGCTTCTTTGGTTCTCCCTCTTATGAGAAGCCAGCGTGGAGATTCTGATACCAAAGGGAGTAATAAGAGAGAATATGCAAGTGGAAAAAAGGATAAGAGTCTGTACAAGTTTCTCCAACATGTTCTAGTTGGATAAGCCACAAGAGGGAGAGTGAGAAAGCCAAGTGTGAAGAAAAAGAAGCCATATTGGCCTACTTGGCCACGCCACTTTCGCCCTACTGATTCTGTGCTAAGGACAAGGCAACATATTCCAATGCCTGATCTTGCAAACCCATTTGCAAAACGGAAGAAAGCATAGACCCAAATGTTTGGGGAGAGAGATGTGGCAAAAGCTGTTATGGATGTTAAGATGCACGAAAGTTGCACTGTTCTCTTTCTGCCTAACCATGAATCAGCTAGGTGGCCAGATACAGCAGACCCTGCACCAAAATTCAAGCAACATGTTCAAGTTAGGAATTAAGCTGTGTTGAAGCACACAATTAAGTACTTGAAGATTATTTGAAAGAGTAGTTTATAAAAATAGTTTATAATTCTTCTAAGTGTTTTTTTTAAGCTTATTTTAATAATTTTTAATATAGTTTATCAAAATAAATTATTTTGAACAGATCTTAATAAATTTTGTGCTTAAATTTATGACATAATAAATTAATGTATTTAAATGTACCTTTCAACAATTTCTTTATTATAAGGAGGTTTACAGTATAATTTAATCATAAAATTATTTATATAAACAAAAAGAAAATTATTTTAATAATTTATAACAGGAGATTTACTTAACAAAGTTCTTGCAAGTGCTTTTTTAATATTGTTACTGTTGTTGCAAATTTGCAAATTTAATTAACATTTAACTTCCCTCACAGGATCGTATATGGTCATAGAGACTTGAGATTAAGTTTCACCTAGCCTTTTTATTAGACAAACAAAGTTAATGTTACCTTTGAGTTTTTAATGTATAAATAAAATAACTAAAATAATAAACTTGCACGGGAAATAGACAAACTAAAAAAAAAAAAAACACCAGTCAATTGAGATGCTTATTTTTTTTGAGAAAATTACAAACATGTTGCTCAAAGGAAAAATTGTTAAATGCTCATGTTTTATAAGAAAATTACAATGACACTAGGAAGGAAAGTTATATAATCGACAGCTGAGACCTGGCTTTTCCTGAACAATTTATTATATAGTATGGTAAGATCAAAGTTAATGAGTTCCATATCATTCATAGAGGAGAGAAGAGAGAGATATTAGACAACTGATCAGCTCCCTGTCAAAGCATTAACACAAGCTAGAAATTTTGCATGAACATTTAGTGTAATCCACTGAGTATCAATAATGTTCATAATTCTTTTAGCTAACTACATTTTTTTGTAAACAAGTAATCCATTACGATTACTAAACTACAAAACTTCTAACTTTGTTACACCATTAAATTTATTCATATTTGCTTTTACACAATTTCACATTTACTTCTCCAGTACAGCTGTGTAGCTTGTCTTTTATTGAATTATGGCTATAGTCAGAGCAAACTAAAAGAGTTCTTAAAGAGGGAAAGTAACCCCGTTTGTCAACTAATACTGCAATACGGATTGCTGAAAGAAGACAATTTGTTCAGTGGAACGCAAGTGCATGTGATTGCTAGTGGATGAAGTAGGAGAACAAAGAGAAGTGGATGAAAATATACTCTTTAACATACAATTTATTATTTAATTAAAACTCACAAAATTATGAAAAAATACGAAGTGAAACTCACTCACTTCTTGAGTCTAAATATATTTTATCAATTAATAATGTATCAGAATGTGTGTTATTAGCATTTTTTACAGAACAAAAGGGACAAGTAATATATATGTACCTATAAGAGAACCAAGGAAGTAAACAGAAGCAGGCACAGCAGCCAGAAACCTTCTATCACAAATAAGATTCCACTCAGCTATGGTGGAACTTGTATGGCCATCAACCCATTCCCAAGTGCCAGGCACCAAAGCACACACAGAACCACTGCTTTTGGAACTGCTATTGTTACTTGCACACAATTCATTTTTGCACCTCCAAGTAGGTGGTTGTGCATCACTGAAGATTGTCACCAAAGTACTATGAGCATCAAATATCCATGCCAATGACACCAAGAGCACATGCAGCAACTGAGAGAATCCCATGGACCCCATATACCCTTCCACCACTTCATCCACAGTGAGCTCAAGTTTGTTACTCACTTGTTCACTTCCCTCCAAATTTGTGCTCCCATGAACCAGTTTTTGTTCCTCTTCCATGATTCCTACAATCAAAGAAAAAGAAAATTAGTTGCTACCTTGCTCCAATGTTAGGATATCCACATCTATATATACATAATTAAGCTTACTCTAGCACATATACTAATGTTAAAACATTAAAAAAAATTGTGACATGACATCATAAAAGAGCCCCTTTATTTGGCTATGAAAAAGAAGGAAATTATGTCTTGCGGGTGTCCTGTGATCAAACATTTGAGGTGCATGCACTGTTTTGGTGAATCTCATTGGTATTGGAGAAAAGCCAATTAGAACCCCATGTTAAGAGTGGATTAAATTTTGTTGACACACGTATCATTATAAAACAATACTTAGTATATAGAATTAATTGGTGGGCTAATGTGGAAAGAAACATTGATGAATTATTGATGATGGTAATCAATGGATCTGGGGCCCAGTATTTCACAATTGTGGTGGTTGGTGGATATGAATGAACAGCATAATTGGAAAACATGAAGGGATCAAAATGCTTCCATGCCTATAGAAATCTAATAAAAATGAAGGGAGTGATATCTCAACATACCTCTAGTTTGAGAGTGGAGGAACCTGATGTGCTCACTGATTACCGAATCATAGACTTAATTTAAGCCTCTGTTGTGAAAATTAATTTTTAAACCAACACATAATGAGGGGTTTCAATAGTAATTAGACCCTCTCTTCTTTTGCCCCAAAAACTAATGACTACAAGATTGTTAACTCTTATATATGACCAAGTTCAGCTGAGCTAGAAACATGGCATGCTTTTTTCAAGATGCTGAAAATATTGCTGATTCTTGGTCATCAAACAAACTCATCCATTCTGGCACAGGATTTTAAATTGCTCAGTTAACTTGTTCCAAGGGATATTCCATCTTACATATTTTTTTTATCTTCATTTATAAATTATTCACTATAATTTTTATTCACAAAAATTGGTGATCAATTATTGAACAGTAACACACGTTAGCTTATCTCTGTTTTGGGTAAATACGTAAGCCTAACTTTCCTGTACGTCAAATATTTATCTCAATCTAGTTACTTAGTCCCGTGAAATTTTGTATATTTGATAATTTTTATTTTGTCATTTTTAGTTTTATATTTTTTTCCAAATACTGTAATTTAAATTTATCTATTCAATTTATTTAGTTGTTAATATTAAACTTGGATTTCATAAATTTTGCCCACCATATTGAATTGATGATTGATTGATACAAATTTTTTTTCATAATTTATTCTTTAAATATAAAGGTTTTATTTTTTTTAATTTATTCATATGTAATAAGATGTATTCCTTATTCTTCATTTGATGAAATTTCTTATTATATTTTATTCATTTGTAAAAAAATAGTTTTATAATTTTTGAATAACAATAATATATTTATTTTATGTACCTTGAAAATTAAAAATTCTCATAAATATATAAAAACTTACTAATATGCTTGCAATTAACACAATTATAATTTGTAGAAATACTAAAATTTCTTAACATCGTGTTAAAATTAAACACTTGTATTATTTAATAACTTTTAAAATACAAGATTAGTCAATTTAACAGTTAGTTTAAAAATTCTTCATAAGTATATCAATTTTATAAAATTTTATATAAAATAAAATTAATAGATACTTCGTTGCATTATTTTATTCAATAAATGATATATTTAAAACAAATACCAAATTTTTAATATCAAACGTTAAAATTATATAAAATTGGTTATAAATAAAATTAATATAAAATAATCCATTAGTTACGTTCAGAATATCCCAAGCTCATTTATAATTTGATCATTGGTCGTGATGTCTTGATATACATCCAAATTACCATTTCTCATGTTAGTTTGCCAAAATTCTATTAAAAGTTACTTTGAAATTCAAAATTTTAGAAATAAGTAAGAAAAAATACATCTAAATAGACTAAAAAAATCCAAGATTCTAAATAAATTGACAAACTTAATAAAGTTAGTAGGCTTATTATTAACTTAGTTTTAGTAGTAGTTAATTAACCTGATAAGTTTATAAAGCTTTTTAAATATTGTAAAACTTGATTTTCTTTAATGAAATAGTTTTGTTTAATTTAATCTAATTTATTTAATAAACAAATCTGACAACCAAAGAGTGATTTATGCTCAAGCACTTGAAGCTATCAAAACATCAACTTTTATCATGAAAAGAAAGATACTTGACAAAATTTGAAAATCATTATACTAAATTAAGGATAAGAGACAATATCTTCTACACCCCATTAGAGATTATCTTTTCTATTTAAATACTACAATTCTATTTTATTGCAATGCAGACAAATAATAGAGATTAGAACTAAAATTTCATTAGCGTATTTCAAACATTTTACACTTCCAAGAGTTTTTTGTTCTCTAACTCTTTTAAGTTCTAAGATTTATTCAGAAGACTATTCCCCCTTGAAATAAAAAAAAATAAAATAATACTTCAAGCTTCATGTTTTCTTCATTATATTGTTTTCTTTTAATAAATAAAATAATTTTTTGGGTGTTAAGAAAAATTTTAAAAAGTTATTATAATTAAAAAATAAAATTATCTTAAATGAAATAAATATTTTTAAAAAATATGCATCCTATTTAGAGTATTAGAAAAAAGGAAAAGAAGAGGAGAAAATTTGAAAAGAAATAAAAATAGAAAGTGAAAATTTACCCCAATTATTATTATCATCAATTGATTAATTTTAAATTAAATTGAATAGATAAAATTTATCAACATAACATATTATGTTAAAATAAAAAATGAAAGTATACTCTTTTGAAGGATTCACTTACTGTAAGATTAAATTTAGCTGGCTTAATAGTTTTTTATTAAATTTTATTCAGTTAACTATTTAATTATATAATATTATCTTTGTGATTATGTATGGTAAACTTTTACGTAAATTAAACATTAATGATTATATAATTTTATAGTTAATATTTATTTATACTTTTAAAAAATATTATATTTTAAAATAAATTTATTTAATAAATTTTATAATAATTTTTAAATTTTATAAAACTTGTTAATCTAGATATAGTTATGAAAAACTCTTAAATCAAATGCAAATAAGTTAGGTAGGTATAGTAAGTGAATCGATCCCTTAATTATCTGTGTATATATATTTTTTGTTTTCCATTTATTTTAATCTAGATTCAACTCGGGTTGCATACTTAGATGTAGTGGATGAGTTTATCACTAAAGATTTTTTATATACATAAAAATCTAAATTTAAAATTTTACTTAAATGATACTGAATTACTTGCTACTCAAATTAATCACTATTAATTTTGTATATATATATATTTGATAAAGAAATTAACAATTAAGTGTATATTTAACTATTTATTGAAATAGAATCTAATAAAGATTCAATTAAAGAAACTTGCTTTCATATTATTTTTAGCTAGTTGCAACGATTTTTCAACCAATAATTTAAAACACTCTAAAAGACCAATTTTTAACATATACTTAAAATTATTCTAATTCATCAAAGATAATTACATCTTCTTCACATCCATTTTAAAGATTATATTTTTTATTCAATACTATACAATTCCTTTTATTGCAATGCAAACAAATAATAGAGAGATCAGAATTAAAATATCCTGACCTATGTTAGGGTGTTAGGTTAAGTAGATATTTTACATAAAAAATTACTAAATTTTATCAAAATTTTATGGGTTGTATAAAGTTAATTTTAATGAATAAAAAAATCCATTCGCTCTTATCACACAGACAAGTTGAGTTGATTGACTAATCGAATTAATATCTATAACATCATTATATAAAAAAATAAAATTTTGTATATTTTAATTGTCTATTTCTAATATTTCAAATAATAGATCTATTAAAATTAAATAAAAAAATTATTTTAAAATATAATATAATATTAATAATTTATTATTCATCTAAAATAAAAAATTAAATAATACAAAATTTAAAATGAATTTTGATAACTACTTATAAATTATAAAATAAAAAATTTAATATTTATTTTACAATTTAAACCAATACGTGATATTTAAAAATTTTAAAAGTTAATATGCGAATTATTTAGTTCAGTTAAGTTTTAATATTATAAACTTACAACTCAACCTATATTTTATTAAATTCTAATATTTTGATTCAAACTATCTACTTAAATCAACATGTTAATTTTAATTAAATTAAATAAAATTAGTGAAATTCATAGTGCCAACAAAATCAATTAATATTATAATGTTTCTAACGCATTTCACTTCTAAGATTTATCCAAACTCTATTTTCCTCTGCCTGCCAAAGGGCCTTTTTTTTTTTACTTTCTTTTTTAGTCTTTTAAATGGAAGAAATTATTCTACTTATAGAGAATCGTGAAAAGTATGAACATATATTTGTATTTAAACTTCACACGGGTAGTGCAATAATTTTTACTGCACATAAATTTATATAAAGTAGAATTAATATTCACTTTTATCAAATAATAAAATGAGGGTAAAACATAAGATAAACATTAACTAATTAGATAAAAAAAAATTAGAAAATTGTGTAAGAAGATGCTTTGTTTATAATATTTTTTTGTGGGATTTATAAAAATAAATACATACAAAACGTTGTGATATTTTTTAATTTTCACATATCTTACTTAAAATAATTTTTAAATGATATAAATTTTTTAGATAATACATAATTAAGAAAAATATTATTATATTATAATTTTTAATTTTTGTTAAAATATATTTTTGTATTAATATTATAAAATTGTTTTTTTAATATAAATTACCTTTTTTTACACTCTTTTTCATTTATCTAAATAAGTAAATTTTTCACTGTTTTTTCCTCTTATTTATTCAAACACATATTTTTCATTTATTTCTCACATATTTCTTTCTTACCATATTCTTTTCTAGTTATTTTCCTTTGACTCATTTTCTATTTCATCCCAACATAGTACTCGAATAATTTTTTGTCCGGTTCTCTTATTATAACTTTTAATATAAAAAATTATTATCATAATAGTAATAACAGAT